TTTCACCAATAGACTTAGTAGTCTAGAGGTACCACTCAAAGCCTTCGGGTGCTATGGTGGAAGGATTGAGTCCGGGTAAGACCGGCTGAGACTTTGTGCTCAGGTAATCGATCTGACCGGCCGTAGGCGGAGTGGGACAAAATTCGGGGGTACTGTTTCCCCGAAACGTCTGAGAAAAAACCCTGGCGTATCTTGCTCAAAAAGTAAAGAAAAAGACTTAGTAAATTTTTTCCTCCTCTTGTCCCGGCCACCTCGCCCTTCTCCCTTGCAACCTTCCCGCCCGCACGCTGTTATATTCTAATGGTGACTACTAAAGATTAATTTCAATGGTAGTATCTTCTCCAAACATTTGCCCGGCCGCGATTTTCTCTTGTATTCTTCTTTCTCCCGGCATCTTTTTTCTTGATTATTCTTTCATTCGTTCTCGAACCGATCCTGATACACGACATTGGCTTTTACAGTCCGATATCGCTACCACTAGACCACTTTCTCGTTGTTGCAAGCCTACCCCAACTTATTCACTTTAACCATTTTTCTCTAGCTTATGTAATTAATATTCGACACATTTCAAGTCACAAAATGACTTCAGTACGACTTGAACCACAATAGACATTGCACAACCTGTAGTCTTTACCACTAGACCATTTGCTCGTTGTTTGAAGCCTATTTCAACTTATAAACCATATTTTTTCTCTATCTTGGATAATGAAAATTCAGGTATTTGCGAACCACAAAATGAGTTCAGTACAACTTGAAACACAATGGCAAATTGCACAACCTGTTGTCTTTACCACTAGACCACTTGCTCGTTGTGTGAAGGCAATTTCAACTTATACACCCTATTTTTTCTCTATCTTGGATAATTAAAATTCAGGTATTTTCGAACCACAAAATAACGTCAGTACGACTTGAACCACAATGGTACATTGAACAGCCTGTAGTCTTTAAAACTAGACCACTTGCTCGTTGTTTGAAGCCTATTTCAACTTATACACCATATTTTTTCTCTAGCTTGGTTAATTAATTAATGAAAGATCCGGTATTTTCCCACTACAAAATAACTTCAGCACGACTTGAACCTCAATGGTACATTGCAGAACCTGTTGTCTTTACCACTAGACCACTTGATCGTTGCTTGAAGCCGATTTAAACTTATACACCATATTTTTTTTCTATCTTGAATAATGGTGAAAAAATCGTGCGTACGACGGCTGTTTCACGCATAAAGACATATTTTTTCAAGGTTTCCTGTCATTAGTTTTCGAATACATGAACATCCTTTTCTGATGTTTTGCACCAATTGTGGGATTGATTTGACGACAACACAAACTTGATGCGAGTAAATTTTAATTTGATGAGAGTGAATTTTAATTTGATGTGAGCAATTTGTATTTGATGTGAGCAATTTTTATTTGATGTGAGCAATTTTTTTTCGATGTGAGCAATTTTTATTTGATGTGAACAAATTTAATTTGGTTGAAGCTAAATATATAGTGTGACATTTGTGGGCCACCGTAGGATGAGGAACACAATTGGGGATAATCAAATTGCAATACACAATTACAACATACACATGTGGAAAAGTTATAAATGAATGGTATATGACAATATGTACTCGGTGATGTACTTCGCCATCATTCGTAACTCATTCACTCGTTCACATGCATCAGAAGGAGAGAAAATCGCACTAGAAATCGCAGCAAAAATTGCAAGTGTAATGTGCGAATCAAATCGAAACCTTGACATCCCCCCGGGCATACCCCCGGGAATTTGAATTTTGACGTTTTGGTCAAGACAAATTCCCTACATATATTTGTAATTCCCGTTCAAATACACCACGTATTGTGAAAAATTGGAGTTCAAATACCCCATGCACCCCATGTACGAATTGGAAGCTACAGCATTTCGTAATTTTGGAATTACAAAGTTTTTCTTTCCTTCAGAAACTCTCTTCAATATCGTTCAAAGCCGTTTTCTTGTAGCCAACCAAGGACAAAGTTAATTTCTTCGCACTTTGAACTCATCCATTGTCATTAACGCCATTTTGGATTCAGCATACGTGTTTAAAAGAAAAATTCAAATTCCCGACCCCCTAAGCAAATTCCCCACCTTCCACTAGAAAAAAGGTCAAATTCCCGCCTTGTTCAAATACTAAACAAGCAAATTCCCCAGGCCTGCCCGGGGGGGATGCCAAGGTTTCGATTTGATTCGCGCATAAACGGGCCTTAATTAAAGGCGATTTCTAGTGTGATTTTCTCCCTCTGATGCATATGAACGAGTGAATGAGTTACGAATGTTCGGAGTACATCACGGAGTAAATATACCCTCATCTGAACATTCATAACTTATCCACTCGTTTATGCATTGAGAACTCCGGCACATGGAGGTGTTTGCCTCTATCAGACCAATAACAACAAATTTAACCGTTTAACTGATTTGGAAGACGACAACTTTGAAGTTTTATGGGTTAATCATACAAGACCCAGGCCCTGTTTATATGGAGGCGAGTCACTCGGCAACGGGCCAATTAAAACGGCGAGATTGCAGGCGATTTTAACAATTTGAATATAAAGTACTTCTGTCGCCAGTTAATTTAGGTTTAAGCAGCTGATAAACGCTACAACCTGCGGGGCAGCCACCCTCGATTTTGTAATAACTAAGCTCTGTCGAGATCCATGTTATCCACCCACAGGAAAGATCACATAACCAAACTGACCGTATTATTTATAAAAGGGATATGACTCATATGAGAACTTCTTGAAAGATGGAACTTGGCAGATACCTAAACAAAGTTGACTGGAGTATTCTAGACTTGCATGACACATGTGAAAGGAAAGTATTTACTGATGTCATATCTACAGGATTGAACCTTCTCAAGCCAGAAAAAATGATCAAATTTTACCATAACGACCCGCCGTGGATTACTGACGATTTCAAGTGTATGGTCAAAAAACGGCAACAAGCTTTCTCAACTGGCAATATTACAGCCTTGAAATTCTATCGTAATAAAGTGAACAAAATGAGGTATCGATGTCGCATCAACTACTACGCTTGTAAGGTTAACCATCTTAAACAAACTAAACCCAAAGAATGGTGGAAAAAAGTCAAGGGCATATGTGGAGCTACTTCACCCTTCGGTATCGACAGCTTGGTTTCACATTTGCAAATTGACAATCTTGATCAAATGTCTCCATCTGATATTGCAAATACAAATAAAGATAGCTTCTTGGATTCAATGAAGGCTAGGAGTTTTGTCCCCTTAATGATCTTAACCTACAGAAGTGAATAGATACTTCGGAAGACGTCTCACATGTTGATATGAATACGACCTCGCCGGAATCAGTACACAGCAAATTAAAATCATTAAACTCTGGCAAGGCCCCAGAGACCGTCAGTCTAGCGAACTGGATTTTGAAGGAGCATGCAGATATATTGGCCTCGCCCATTTCAACTTTGCTAAATATCTCATATAATGAACAAAAATTACCATTGGGTTGGAACGAGCAAATATTACCCCCATCCCTAAAGAGAAACCGGTTGCTGACATCGATAAACATCTCAGACCTATATCATTAACCTCTACTCTATCCAAAATTGCTGAAGACCTCGTTGTCGAAAATTATGTTGTCCCTGCTATTTTGAGTGTCATTGACTCACAGCAATTCGGAGGACTACCTCGGTCTAGCTTCGGCCACATTACACCTATTAATTAATATTCATGGTTCATGGAGTAAGGCTACGGACGGTACCGGGGATGCAGTTCGGGTGGTTCTCTTTGACTATCGGAATTAGGCATGTTATCTTTTCGACCACCGAATCCTTGCACAAAAAGTGTTTCAACTTCATCTCCCACTCTCAGTAAAGAAATGGGTTATTAACTTTCTGACTGATAGAGAACAAAGGGTACAACTATCACGGGATTGTTTTTCAGAATTGCACGGGGTTCCATCAGGAGTTCCACAAGGAACCAAACTTGGCCCTTGGCTGTTTATCCTGATGATTAACGATCTCAGACCATGTGCGACCGACTACTGGAGATATATTGATGACACAACGACCTCTGAAGTAGTTAAGAGACCTACTCACTCCACTATACAAGAAAGTGTAAATTATATACAACAATGGTCGATGGACAACCGTTTGCAACTCAATTAAAGAGTTACGAATACACTTAGGAAGGGACGAATTAGATTTTTCAAACATCCGTATCAACGGCAGGAATTTAGAAATTGTTAATCATGTCAAAATCGTGGGCCTGACGATCTAAAATGAAACCAGCATGCAGTGTTGTAACGAGTCGAGTCATTGACTCTGACTCGAGTCGCTATTTTCAGCGACTCGACTCGAGTCCAATACGAAAAATGGCTCGACTCGAGTCAACAGCCCCAAATGACTCGACTCGGACTCGACTTGCTGATTTTGCCGTAAATGATTCGAGTCAACTCAGCTACAACTTTTACAGAGTAAATTCATCACAATTATTGTGATTGTATAAATTTGTATTGCTTGGGAAGAACAATGAGCCATGTAAACAATGAGAACTTTGAAACTTTATCAGAAAATATATGGGATTTGCATAGAATATATTCCTGACGGGCATACCTATATTACATTTCTGTTTTTAGAAACAACGCTAGTGCCACAGTTTTTAAAATTGAGTCTCAAAATTTTTTTTACTTATACTAATTCTGACAGGCTATTTTCATTTTTGGTATTTATGCCTTCATAAATACCAAAAATGAAAATAGCCTGTCAGAATTAGTATATAAGTACAAAAAATTTTGAGACTCAAAAATTCAAATTAACTTACAAAGCGTTGTTAATTAAAGGCTATTCTTTGTTAGTTCTGACTCCAGTTGCAAGTTTTGCTAGTTGTATGTACGTACACTCGATCAGCAGGCATGATGAGACATCTCATGTGGTACTTAATATTGACTAGAACTGTGATATTGGCACAGCCTATAGCTGCCCAGATACTGTTATTAAATGACTAAAGTAATTAGTTAAAACGCAAATTAGATTACTAATTTCCGATTGCAAGCTAGGGTAGCTCAAGTCAAGTCTAGAAAGTGACTCGACTCGACTTAAATCAGTGACTCGACTTGACTCGAGTGAAACCGCTGACTCGACTCGACTCGAGTGAAGCCACTGACTCGACTCGATCAAAAACTGAAATGACTCGACTCGTGACTCGACCTGTAGGTGACTCGTTACAACACTGCCAGCATGTCAACAATGTCGTTAAGAAGACCAACAATCGGATTTATTTTATCATCCAATGCAAACGAGCAAAAAATCCCACCCTCAGAAATACTACATGCTCGTTTATTGTACCTGCGTAAGACCCATGCACCCTTGAATATAGTACTCAGGTCTTTCATTATGCACTACCTAATTACCTTAGGCTTAGCGATGTTATCGAACTAGCGCAACAAAAAAAGAGTACTTCCTATCATCTACCCAGCAATTTACAAACCATCCACGCTAGACGAGAGGAGGCCTTGTCTCAAACTGTTTAAGAGCATCGAGAGCAGCCCGGATCATAAACTTCATAATCTACTTCGGTACTTTCAACAAGAATGGTCCAGCATCATTGCTTGAGAAATCCTCGTGAGTTTATGATACCCAACGTGAATACAAACAGATTTTTAAACACTTATGTACTATTGTATCTTCTGCAAATGACATGAATGATCATTACTAGAGTGACAATCCTTCAGTTTCTTAGAGTAGCAGTAATACATTATGTGTAGTTTTGAAATGTTTTATATACCATAATTCTTATTGATATGTTATTACATAGAATAATTAAATGTGTAAATTACGTAATTCAGCCATGTGTTTGATGGCTGCGATGTAATTTTTAATAAACCTATCTATCTATTAAAAAACAGGTTAAGGTAAAACGCTGATACGGACGGACGGATGACCTATTTTGCTCTAAAATATGTTTTAAAGATATCCCTTCTTAAAGATTCCCCGATTCCTCATTCCCCCTTTTAAAGATAGCTTAAAGACACGAGAAGTCTTGGGTAAAACGCGGATATGCCTTTTAAAGACCCGAAAAGTATATTTAACACCATATCCGCGTTTTACCCGATTGGGTAAAACGCGGATATGATGTTTAAAAGGGAGAATCTCTAAAAGGAGAATCATGAGTAGCTTTACGTGCGTGGTGTTAGATTTTTTACTTCAGAATCTTTTTCGTACATTAATTTACGCTATATATTATTGTTTGTGTAATTGTTTTCACGTCCTTCCGTCCGTCTCAGCGTTTTACCCTAGCACGTTAAATTGCAGCCTGTTCGGATGCACTTGCGATTTCATGTCGCCATCACGTCAGCAGGAAAAGTCGCATCTGCAATCGCAGCAAAAATTGCAAATGTAAACGGACTTTTAAATTTACGATGTGCTCAAGGATTAAAACATGCACCCTTGGCCTATTCTAGACATGCCCCATTATTTGGGAGTTTAACCAGTTATTCATTAGTATCTTTCATTGTTAATCGCCAACCAAGGGAGCTCTTTCATGTGATCGCCTTTGCCCTACATGGATTCTTGTATATGCATTGGTACAAACTACGAATATCAAGCGAGTTATTAAAGAAATTGATGTAAATAATACCACAAGTGTAAACACGGCCGGTAGAAAGCCCAACAGGATAATCTCGATCCAATCTAGTACTTGAAAAATAGGCATCCAGTCATTACTGATATCTTCTTTCGAATTAGCATAAAATGATTTATACAAATTAATGTTGGATAAAATGACCAGACCCAGAAGCGAGATTGTCTCTGCAATATTTGCATGATTATTTCGGAACGGTTCCATTTTGGCATGATGTAACAATGCTAACACGCAGACTACTGCCATGCACAACAGTCGCAAAGTTGAGTCGGTAATAAAACAATATAAAAATACCAAGATAAAACGTCGAACAATGAAAATGCTCTCCCAATAGAGTGCGCCACTTTTCTCTGCTTCAGGCTCTCGGAACGGTGCGAGTAGTACAGCTTTTAACGCTTCGGTATACTCAGTACTCTGCGCGTGCTGACGTTGAATACCACAGACACCTGATGACTGCAGAAGCCATAAGATTAGGAACGGAAGTGGAAACACACAGGCGAGTAGGAAATGTCTCGCTGACACCTTCCCACGATGTAATTTTATTGCACCCCAGGCCAAGACAAATATAAAAGGTATAACAACCACCACATCAAAAGCAATCAAAACACTTTGCCACCACTGGTAGCAAACAATTGTTCCATTGTAAAACCAACGACTTTTAGACCCAACAGGCACACAACGAATCAGTGAGAGACTCACGTTAGCGATTTTAATATACCCCAGCAACATCGTTTCCATGGTAGCCCCCAAATAACGTCCAACATTTGGAGTTGCAGATCGCGAAATTTTACACAGAACGTAATGCAGAACGTAGATGAAATATATTGCTCCCAGTGTTCCAAACACGGGTGCAACCTCAAAAG